CTTCCCCCCATTACCAATCATAATCCCCCACATCAGCTTCTTTGTAAAAAAATAAGTAACCTTTTGTAGATGTGGCATTACTCTGTATTAAGTTGGCAGATCTTGGATTAAAGTTCAACTCGAAATTGTTCTTTATCTTTGGCCTCCATAAGGTAGTCGGGGACTCAGTGTGTGGGATACGAAAGGAACGGGAAGTTTGGAGAGTCCCACACCTCTTAGAATAGGGATTTTTGCATTCGTGATTGGTCGGAATCGCCCCGGAAGGGCAAAAACACAAGGCGAGTGAAGTGAGCTGGGCAAAACCGCAATTGTTGAAAAACTAGGGGCAAATCAGTCGAGCGTGACCCAACTAGGGGCACCAATACAATTCTTCACCTCTGATGCATACTGGATATTACCTGATCAATTAGAATAACTTGAAATTTCATTTGGACAACAGAGAGTGACATCAACACGGAACAAGGTCAAGATCACGGACAGGATGTGGGCAAGGCTGCTGTCATCAACAAACCAGCCAAGCTTCCTGAGCAAGGAGGATATCATGGAGGCACGAGAGGCCGAAAGGTTGGCCAATAGGCTACCTGTGCCTGCGGGCAGCAGCGAGCATACGAAGAAACACTCAGCGTCGGTACTGTCAAACGGTGGGAAATAGACAATAGTGGTACGAGTTTTTTTTAAACTTGGGGAAATTTTCGATGGTTCTTGTTGTGCACAGTAGTAACTGTAGTTGCGGTCTGAACCCTTGTTTCATACGGTTTTGTTCCGATGTGTTGACATGAATGCTGCTGATGTAGAGTGAGTAATAAACACACGCTACTATGGTATTTTCTTCATCAAAACATGTGCTGGGTTCCAGTTACCTGTGGTGGACGTCAATCTGCCCTAGCTAGCTAAGTTTTCTCTTTCTTAAAGCAAGTTCCTACCCATTCTTCGGTCGTTCTGAGAGATGGTGCAGGTGAAATGCTCTTCGTGTCAGTAGTTTTGCATGTATGGAGCAGTAGTTCCCAAGAAGCAAACGATCGGCGCACTTTTCGCTGACATGTGATGGCGATGTCACGGGAGGATTGCTTCTTGTTCTTGCAATGAGTTCGCGTCGATCGTCAACATTTCAATGGGTTCTGACGCGTTCCCGTCAGCGGGTCTGTATGATTCACTTCTCGATGGTTTCTCCTGTTCTTGCAATGAGTTCGCGTCGATCGTCAACATTTCAATGGGTTCTGACGCGTTCCCGTCAGCGGGTCTGTATGATTCACTTCTTGATGGTTTCTCCTGTTTGATACCTTCTACGTTTTGCATGCAAGAAGCCTCCGGCGATGTCCAAGGAGCACCCACGTTGACGTTGTCACAGCTGCACCAGCCTGCCGCCGCCATTACGGTTCCTGCACCGCCGTCATCCGCGACGGCTGGCACGGCCAGCGTGGCAGTGATCGACCCCGACGACGCAACCGGACCTCGGGAACGGGAAGAGACGCCGGAATGAGAGACCGGAGCACGGCAAGAGGCCGAGGAAGCTGACCGGAAACGGGAGGAGAGGCCTATGCAGCCGGAGACGCCGGAGCGTATGGCACCGCCGCCGGGAAACGCGTTGCACGCACGTCCGGACGAGACGGCAGCACAGGCGGCGCAGGACGTAGACGCGTTCAAGCCCGACGACGGCTGCACCACGCCGCCGCCACTGCCGGCCCACGGCTCGGGTGACGACCGCGTGGCGGTGAGCAAGAGTGGGAAGCGGGCGGGCGTGGCCGCCGCCAGGTCGAGGCTGCTCGCGTTCCGGTCGTTCGCACGGGGCAAGAAGTCTGGGGACGCGGCGCGCGCGCCGTCGCCGGGCGAACACCTGCCGGCGCACGGTAAGGCGTGGGAGGAGGCCGGTGCGGATGACAAGGACAAGGGCCAGGCGAGGTGGAAAAGGTTTTGGAAGTGAACGTGCCGTGCTGTCTGCCGTCGTGCCGTACGTACGGCGAGTTAGAGTAGTCAGAGTCGCGGTGCGTGAACCGTTGGGTGCGTTTTCATTGGTTTGCCTCCCATATGTAAATATAAGGGTATGTGGTATAATTCCTATTTTTTTTTAAAAAAAAATCGTTAACGAGATGTCGAATTTCTGGTGGGGAGACGAGGAGAACAAGAGAAAGATGCATTAGATGGCTTCATAAAAAATGTGTGTCCCTAAGAAACAAAGAAAGATGGGATTTTGTGATACTCATAGTTTAAATTTGGCAATGCTCGCCAAACATGCGTGGCGTCTTCTTGGGAATCTTGATTTCTTATGTGCTACTATTCTGAGGGCTAAGTACTACCCCGATGATAATTTGTTGACTATTAAGTTAAAGGAGGGCTCTTCTTTTACCTAGCTAAGTATTATGGCATACGTGAATTCTCTAAAACATGGTACTTGGTGGAGAATGAACAGAATACTATCATACTTCCTCCGTCCTAAAATTCTTGTCTCAAATTTGTCTAAATACGGATGTATCAAGTCAAGTTTTAGTATTAGATACATCTGTATCAAAACTAATCTAAGACAAGAATTTTGGGACGGAGGGAGTATTTGGGAAGACGCTTGGATTCTTAATGGTGGCACTAGAAAAGTTATTGGGAGGGGGGGAGGGGGTGTAAAGTGAGGGATTTGATTGATCCTGTTTCGAATAATTGGGATGAAGACTTGACAAGACAAACTATGTGGCCCATTGATGTATAACGGACACTTGCAATCCCACTCTCATAATATGATATGCCAGGTTTTATTGCTTGGAGCTACACAAAAGGGGTTTGTTTTCGGTTTACTCTGCTTATTTTGTGGAATGGGACCATCAGCATGGAAGTAAACTGAGAAGTTCCAATGAGATGGGATGAACACAGTCATCCCTATTTGGAGCAAGGTATGAAAATTATCTTTTCAGGCAAATGTTAAAATATTTATCTGGCGTACCCTAAATGGCACATTCCCATGTCGTGTTACGCTCACAAACAGACAAATGAAAATCTCGCCCACTTGTCCTACTTGCTCTGCTGATCCAGAAGATACGAAGCACGTGCTATTCCTTTGTAATAAAACACAAGAGGTTTGGAAAAAGGTTGGAGATGGATGGTATTATTGATAAAGCATGTGGGGTTGATTGTGCCGGAGAGGTGGTATTGGAATATTTACTTCTTCTATCAGACCAAGAATTATGGATTATGGGTCATCAGAATGTGTGTGAAATGATTGCTATCTCAGCATGGTATCTATGGTAGGAGAGACAAAAAATGACGCATAAAGAGACAACTCAGAATGCCTATTAGATCTCTATGGGGATACTAGCTCTTACGCCAAACTTTGTGACTGCCTCATCTCCAAAGGCCTCTATAAAGGAGGGGGGGGGGTCTTTCCCTCGAGTGGGCTTTCTGAAACTTAATGTTGATGCTTTTTTTGACCATGATCTTCTTAGAGGCACGATGGGGGCCGTTCTTAAATATGACAAAGGCAGATTTATAGCTGGGGAATAGGAAGATAGACTACTGCGCAGATGTCTTGATGATTGAAACCTTAGCCCTCAAATTCGGTCTATCGCTGGCGCAAAGGTCGGGATGCAATCATCTTATTATTAACTTACACAATTGGACGTGATTGATACCATGAAGGATGAAGCACGGTTGGTGGGTGTGGCGTCGGCTATTTTCTATGATTATTTTCATTATTCTTATGATTTCATTATTACTAGTTTTGAACACTTTAATAGGGAAGCAAATAAAGTTACTCACAAGCTCATTAGAATAGCTAGATTTTCTTACTTCTCATTGGTTTGAGGAACCCTTAAATGAAATTGTAACGGTCCTTGCAAACGATGTACTAGTTATCTCTAATAGGGAATAAAGTTGTTGCTTTATTAAAAAAAGGTTTATGGTACAATAATTGTCTAAAAAAGAGGGTTTGTGGTAGACTTGGTTTTTAAGTCTGACACCCTAGATTTTGACCTTTTTTTATTGGATTTATTGAATATTTGAATTTGCATTTGGGTTTTTCAGTCAATTCTTTTGGACTTGCCACTTGGAAATCATTTTGATTTTCTTCCAAGTGGGTTCTATCATCCCTAAACCCTCACTTGATCTCATCCCTCTCACTTTAGTGCCATGGGATATTTTCTTTAATGGCAAAATATTTCCCACTAGGCTATGAAGCAACCCTCACTTTTCTTGCTCTGAAATTCCCATGAAAATTCCCAAATATTCTTTGGATCAGGCCTCACCTCTCCATGCAAAAATATGCCTTGGTCATTGGAGAATCTCAGCTAAGGAAAATATTTTTGCTTCTGGACAGAAATGTCAGTTTGCGAAGCAGGTGTATTTTTCCTTGATCCAATGGAGCTGAAATTTTTACCACATAACTACCTTCCTAGGAGATTCTTGACCCCCAAGTTTCATCATTCAACTCCAAGCCATTCTCTCTCAGCTTTCTTCCCAAGTTTCTGTCCAAAAACTTTTCTGCCTTCTCATGTCTTGTCCATTGAGCTAGGTGTCGAGCTGAGGGCGCAAAGCAGCACCACGTTGAAGGGACTACACCCTAGGCACGGTCTGGACGTTTCAGAAGTACCATGTGTACCAGTGCACGTGGTGACCGCGCGTGTGCAAGGTGTTCGACATGCATTCGGTGTGCTCTGGACACCGGGACCCCTCTGCCGCCGCCCGTTCGCCCTCCTCGCGCCACCGTAGCTTGCCTGTGCCACTCAACATGATCAGCTCCCTCCACCTAGTACCCCTCTTCTCCTTCTCGATGCCGGCAGGCCACCCGCCGGACGCGGACATGGCGCGTCCGTTCGGAACAGTGCGCTCGCGTGCGTGCCCTGTCCCACTTAGTGCACTGCAGTCTTGGCCGTGTGCACGCACTGTTCTTTGGCATCGTCTACTTCGTCTCCGTGTCGCGCCCGAGCTTCTCCCTCTCTCATTTCTTCTGCAGCTCATCTCCGGCGGAGCTCGAGCTAGATCACCTTGCCATCTATAAATAGAGCCCCACTCGATCACTTCTAGCCATCACCACCACCTCTTTTGGCCTCAAATCGTTCGCCACAGCCCGGGGCAAGGTTGGGAGGGCCTCCAGCCTCTGATTCTCGCCGGAGTTGGCCGCGGATCCCCTTCGGCCGCCTGCTCACTCTGGTGCTCCTTGTCTTCGCCCACCTCCTTAGGCGTGCTCGTGGTGATCTCATGAGCACGACGGTGCTGCTAGTTCGTCGGATTAGCGCCAGAACCCTCAGCTCCGACGAGCTCTGCTGCGCACCGTCTCTGGAGAAGAACACCCCGACACCGTCCGTCCAACCCCGCCATCAGTTCGGGTACACACGTGCTCGTCTCAATGCGCTGGATCTATCCCCCTCTTCTCAATGACCGCCATGGTCTACTCGCCGGAGAACCACCAGCGACGGTGCCGCTTCCCCGGTTTCCCTCCCCCTCTCTCTCAAACCTGACAGGGTGACCCCACCTGTCAGCCTCTCTGTCCCTCGCCCCAAGCGGTATGAGTGGAAGCGTATTATGGAAATATGGCTTCAATGTGGCCTTCTCTTGAAAGTCATATAAATCCATTTAAATTCATATTTTGACCCTAACTTTGACCAGCTCTAGATTCTATTCTATAAGTCCAAATGAGTTGATTCTTTTTGCATTAGTTTTGTCTTGAGTTAAAGTTTTTGTTTGCAAAGTTTGAGATTTTTCCTTGCTGTTTATAATTTCTGGTGCAATAAAATGCTTTATGTGACATTTTCGTTTGCATTTAATTTTTTTAGAAAAAACTAGTTGCCTTGGAGAAGACCAGGAGTATTGTGACACTCCTCTGAACTAAGGCAAGCCACAACATTCATTTGCAAGGATGGCATTGCAATGGAAATGGTTTTATTTGAATTAAATTCATTTTATGCATTTAGTTAAAATAATTACTACATGAATATTGTGCATATTATTTGATCCCTGTTATGTCTATGAAGCGTAATATATTTCATCTTGGTATTATGTGCAGTAGAGGTCATTTTATATGCTCATGCTAAAAATGATGCATTCATCATTCATATTCATGACCCATGCATTTCATTTCATACTATGGCTCAAATCATTGTTTTCAAGTTAAACATGATGATTAATGCAACTTGAACAAACTGTTGATCGAGTTATGGTGCCACCGAATCAAGCTCACCAGTGCAACCACACTTGCCTGGATGGGGAGGCCCTAATCCAGTTTATTATCATGCCTCTCGCCAGTGCCTCCAACAAGGGAAGGTTATGCGCTTGCACTGCCCTGGCCAGGTAGGCACCATAACCTTGTGTGCCCGAAGTTGTATGATACCATTGTCCCTATTTGGGACCGTTTGTTTTAGTTTTTCCACGACGGTGGACGACCACGAAAGTGTCGGATGTCAAGAGTTGGCATCGGGGCCATCCAGGACATAGCCCAAAGGGGAGTTTGTCGGAGTGGCCGGGAGAGTGTCATGCAATAGATTGGTTTTGTCGGAATGTCATTGGTCCACCCAAATGGGAGCACGAGGCCATGAATTCCGTGGTGTGGGTATAGTGTACTAACCTCTGCAGAGTGTATAATCTATCGATAGTCGCATTCTCGGATATGTGCACAGTTCGTAGTAGGTCACACTGTGGGTCAACAAAAATAAATAACCAGCACATTTAATAACACCGAGATGGCACATGTAGCAGTTGGTCATCATGTGAGGATCACTATGGTTGATTTTGGTGTGATCCAATGAGGATCAAGATGGTAAGTTGTCGATGGTGGTTATGAGGTAACCCGAGATGCTAAGTTGGTTTGAGGGACCATGATCATGAAACACGTACACTTCATGGATACAGTATCATGCTCATATTCATACATTCAACTTGTTAAATGGCTTGTTGTTGTTGTTGTTGTTGTTGTTGTTGTTTTGTCATGTTTTGCTTTGCTTGCTGTGA